TCCTCCTGAGAATATGGCCAATATGGGCATGGCATATACCTTTGTCCTTTCCTCTCAGTTCCTGCATGGAGCCATCAAGCAGCAGGTGTTAGGAGATGCTAAGTGTGCTGGTCTAGAATTTAACTGCTCAGCATCTACCATATTATAGCTCAGAAGGGTCCTCAGCTTGACAGTCAGGGAGACTTGGTTTTGAACCCCATAGTGCTAATTAAACAAAATGGGAATGCAGTGCTTATCTCCCTCTCTCAGATTCTGGCTGACATGGAAGAGAAGCTTCCTCTGAAGGAATGCAGATGCAGGATATAAATTTGAATGCATGGAAAGTTTTCTTCAAATCACAATTAGACAAGGGATCAATGTGAACAAATCTAATTTCTGATGACATGGAGGCTTTGGAGAACTAAGAACCATTGTTTCTGATGAATGCTCTCAGGCATTTTTTTCCTCTTTGACTGAAAATGGAGGAAGTAACAAATGAAGGCACAATGTAAGATTTGCTTCAAAGTTCAGTCAGCATGGGAGAAAAACTACATTAGATTAATCAAATCACTATGGAAACAATTCCACTTATTGTGACAGAGTCTGTAGTAGCCCCCTGCAAATATACCGTGTATATGAGACTTGAGTCACACTACATAAAATTAGCTGACTTTCACAGCAGAAATGTTTTGTGAATAAACTGTTTTAAGAACTTCATAACCTATCCTAAAACTGTGGTTCGTTTATCCATGTGGTCTTTAGAAGATTCAGAAAACAGGGCTCTGCTAAGCTCACTTCACTACCGACACAGCCCTTGTCCTAAAAAGGGCTGACAGTCTAAACAGATTAGGCAAAGGGTAGGAAAAAAAAAAATTGGAGATGACTTGTCTAATGTCAATTTGAAGTTCATTAACAGTACCGGAAAAGTAATCCCCAGCTCTGTGCTCTGCTTTCCAGCCTACAGCAGCTCCCTCCAGACCACAGAGCCTGCCGCAGTCACCTATGAGGTAGCATTTTTCTGCCTCCTGTAGATCTGTTCCCACTATCATTCCCAAAGAACATCTAGAAAGAGTGGCTCCAAGAATCCAGCACATTCAGCTATGGATATTAAGTCACAACACCAATTCATGCRGCCAAACCTATTTTCAGCTCTGGTACAGGAGGCAAGACTTTAACAACCATCCTGAGAGTCTTTAGGGCACAAGGAACTACGCAACAGGGATGCTTGGCCAGATGGAAACAGGCTGGATTGAGGTCCTGGAGAGGAAGGAAAAATAAGGGGGAGAACTGGAAAGTTGGCAAGGAAAAGCAGCCTTGAATAGGAGACCAGCAGCCCCCACAAAGCCGGTTGTGCTCCAGGATGAAGAGGGGACCAAGCTCCACAGCAGCCCTAAAAACCTACTTCCCAAGCCAGTGCTAGTGACARGAAGGAGGGAGCATGAACAAGGAGTCTTGTCTGAGAGCAGGAAGGTAGTGAGGAGAAAAGCCTCACAGCGATGCAGTCGCTTTCAAACTCCCCCATTCTTTTTATGGGCAAGAAGGCAGATACCAATCTGCTTGGCTTAGGCAAAGAAGGGAAGGGCTTAGGAAGACAAGGACAAAGGAACAGTAAGGACTCTATCAGACCCAGACAATCAAGTTTGATGAGATTAAAAGTAATTATGAAGAAGACTCTCCTGACTTGCAAGTTCTTAGCACATAATGTGGTACCAAAGAAGATCATTGTATCATAGAAAGTACTGAAGAGAAAACCAGGCTGTAAGTTGTCTAGTGGAAGGGAACAAGGAGAGAACAGTACAGTATCATATCCTCTTTTCACCTTGATTTGYTTTGTTTGCAGGAAAAGATATAGAAGAGATTTAATTGACTAACACATTACTCATTACAGAGCTAACTAACTAATTAGAAAACACCTACATTTACAAATTCATAAACCCATACAGAACCTCTCACTAGAATCTTTCACACTAGCCTTGAACCTAATGGTTCACAAGGAAGCAGCTCCTGAAATTTCTCTTTCAGGCTTGTACTGATGAAGATAAAGCTGACCCTTCCAAACAAACTCGTGGGGATTAGATATAGTCTGCAGCTGTAGGAGTAGATCTGATGCCTGTTAATTCTGCTAATTAGCAACATATCAGAGGCACTTTACCTTCTGCAAGAGCTCTTGCACCCAAGGAGATTTGCTGGGAAGTGGCCTCAGGTGACTGCTAATAGCATCTGCCTGCATCACATATGGTCCCCTTTAGCCTCTGTTCTTACCATGATGGTCTTGGCTAGAAGCTTGTGGAAAAAAAGCAGGAGACAGGCTGGGTTGGACACCCAGGAACCAGATACATTTAAACATGTTTTTCAGACCCATTGGGGTCACTTTCTTCCTTTGGTCAAACCTTTCCAAACATCTTGGTTGGAACCAGGCTGCTCTTCCTGTGCTCATGAGAAATGAAATACTGAGATCTTGTAAGAAAATAGGACCATTTCAAGTCTGATTAGAGAAAGAGCAAAAAGCCCTAGATSCAAATGAAATCCCCAGACCTTTTCAGTTTTGTGAATTGATACCAATAACCCTGTGACTTCCACGAGGTTGGAAGGTTGGTCCGCACTTACTGTGCAGAAGAGACTTTGGGGAGCTGAAACTTGCACTGTGACTGTAGGAAGGTCAGTTTAACCTAAATCATTACCCCTTGCAATATGCAGCTTAAGAAATTTTCTGAAAAACACAAAAAATTGCTCAAACTTTGTTAGACTACAACAGGGCTGTTAACTGGRCTGTTAACTCCCACACCAAAGCCAATGCTGAGCTTGCAAGTAAAAGATCAGACTCTGATATAGCAGAGGAGTTAATTTYCTCAGCCTACCATGGCGGGGGGAAAACAAATGTGTAAAACACTGTCATTAAATTTTGCTGCAGCTAAACCAGTTCAAACCATAGTCTAGTCTGACTGATCTGAATGGTGCCAAAGCACATTAAAGTAATCAGGTTAAAGAAAATATATGCTTTCCAGTCCAGCCCTTTTTTTGTATCTTCATCATCTTGGGCTGTCCATGTCCTTTAGACAGGAAAAGAAAATTATCGCACTGAATTTGAGAGCCTTATAGACAACTTTTCAGTCTTTCTCACCTTAAAGCTAAACTCATCACACTGGCCGTCCCACCTGCTAAGAGAGGCCATGAAAATTCTTTCATTGACACATCTTAATTAAAATTCCCCATGGAACTTCCTATACATAACTGGAAGGGTCTACAAAGAACACGTTCAGAGCAACACAGCAGGGCTGAGCATGGAGGACTGAGCCATAGAAAGCTTGCTCAGGAGTGTCCCATACCCTTGTGTTTGGTGCCGGTTTTTACATTATGCCAAAATAAAATGGGAATTGTTGCTTTTGTCTGAGAGAGGGGAACTGAATCATGAATTATTGGAAAGTTAGTCTCCCTGTGCTTTGCGGTTAATAATAATATATTGTGGTAATGATCATATATTTTGGAAACTTATCCAACGATGTGAACAGGGTGGCAAGCAAAGGCATGGAAGGGTATCAGCACCCAGCCCTGTAATAGCTAAAAAAACTAGACACAGGATCAGATTTTTTCATCTGTCCCAACAATAGCAAGAAAGAAGTTAAAAGAACAAAACCTTATAATTCTTGATGCCCCGAGGATGATCAAACCATATTGCTGACGATGGAGTTAATCAGTGAAGCAAGTGCTTGGAGAATTAAAAGACTGTAAGTGCAAGTGGAGAATTAAGGGAGAAGCAAGTGCTTGGAGAATTAAATTAAGCAAGTGCTTGGTGCCCAGAGCTCACAGGTTTTGTCAGGCAGACCTCGACACTGGGCTGAAGTTTTGAAGCTACAAGGACATCACTTGGACTCCTAACTAACTGGGGAAGCCTCTCGGTGACGCTATGTCCCAGCAGATGCTGGCTATAGCATTCTTCTTTTTTTTTATATATTCCAGCAATATTTAATTTCTTTTTTTCCCTCTCTAGCCCCATCCGTGTTTACACACTTACATTGAGTGGGGAGGGGGAAATTTCTGTTTTTTTTCTGCAAGGGAGGTGTGGATGAGGGGAAAGTGTAAGCAATACTTTCTGAATGTGTGACTTGAGGAATCAATGACTTAGCATTTTGAACCTCTTCTAGTATTAAAGTGCTCTAGACGTAGAAAATATTGCCTTAAATGATAACTACCCTTTACACCTTCAGCCTTCCTTAGTCGCTTCCCAACTGTAAGGAATCCCGTATCCCAAGGCACGATGAGGAGACAGAGCCATTCTCAGCCTTGCCRCACCCTGCTTGGCCATTCGGGTCCAAAACCCACGTTTTCGGGTCCAACTCGGGTCCAAAGCCAGTGTTTGCCTCACAAAAATCTTCCTGCTGGCTCTCCCTGCCGGCAAGCAGCTCCGCACGGGATGGAGCAGGAAGCCGAAAACTCCGGTCTGCAGAGGGACCTCTAGTGTTTTCCTTTCCCGGCGTCCTGGCAGAGTTCCCCCCAGTGCAAACACACACAGAGCTCCCATTGTTCGCAGCCCTTCGCGAGCCCACTGATCCTAATATGGAATTCGGCAGGAAACCCATGATTTCCTGACACACAGCACGCTGGAGAAAGAGAGGAAAAACTCCATTAAAAACCTCCCGGCTCTCCTCCATGTTAGATAGGCAATGGAAAATGGAGTGGATTTAGCAGGAATCGCTGAGTCCCACGGCCAAGCTGGAGGCAGGGAGAAGCAAATCAAAGCCGCAGGCTGCTGATGTTTTTTAAGTTGCAATAAAGACGGAGAACTCCGGGGCAGGATGAGGATTTCCTGACTCGGACTCCCAAGAACGGACAAATCACTTTTTCTTTCCTATTTTTTAACGCTACTCCTCTCTMTMTATATATATATATTTAATTTATTCACCTCGATGATTCTCTCGACTTCTCTGGTAATTGTTAGAAGCGGCTGTGACAGCCTGGAAACATTAGTATGATTTCCTGAGTTCGAGATTCCCCCCCACCCCACCTCCAAACTCAGGAAAAGTCAATACAGTCGCACTTCATTTTTCCTTCATGTGCACTTGGAAGCCCCGGGAGCAGCAGCAGCAGCAAGAATGAACTGCAAGGAAGAAGATGACAACTGYGCTGACGGCGGCAGCAGCGGCACCAAGAAGATGTTGAAGTGCGTGGTGGTTGGGGACGGCGCCGTCGGGAAGACTTGTCTGCTCATGAGCTACGCCAACGACGCCTTCCCCGAGGAGTACGTGCCCACCGTGTTCGACCACTATGCAGGTAAGAACGGGCTCCTTGAGGGCTTTAAGTAGGAGCCACAGAAGGGCCAGGTGGGCACAAAGGGGAGACCGAGGGCAGGACAGTTCAAAGAGGACGCACGGGTTACTTCTCGCCTGGGAATGTGATTCAGGCCTGGAGCGGGGCCAGGCAGCTTACATGGCAGCTCCTGCAATTGGGGCAATGCGGGATTTATTTATTTATTCAAGGAACTTGTTCGTTTGCGTCTGATTTTTTTTTGTTTTGTTTGTGGTGAATAAGCAGCGTTAGAGACRCAGTTAAATCCGCTGGATTTTAGAGACAACGGATATCACTCAGCCTCTGTTGGGTTAAGCTCAGCTGCCTGGTTCATTTTTTGAATTATGAAGTTTTGAACTTTGTTGTTTGAACTTTGCTATTATAAAGATGATAGATATACATGAAAATTCACATTTTTGGTCATTTTCTGCCTCATGGCAAATGAGTGCTGCACTCACAATACTTAGATCGTACTTAAGGAATAATCTTTGAGAAAACCCTCATAGAGTCTTTCAGTGCTGTCAGAATAATAACTCTCTCCTTTCAGAGATGTTTGCTACTACATTTATAAATAGATTTTAATATTATAGCTTGCCTGTGAGAACAGCAGAACTGGTGATTGATTTGAGTACTTCAGAGTGAGGGAATTTTACGTAGAACAAAAAGAAAAAGCTATGAACATTACAAAGAACATAAATTATGAACATACATTTGCTATGTTCATTATGAACACATTACAAAGAACATAAATGATGTTCATGGCATCACTGTTCAAACTAGAGACACATATTAAGTGCATTATTCACAGGCCTCATTCTGCAGCAATTACTTACTTTACCCAGCTGTGTCTAAAGTTATCATGTGGATGGTGTGATATGCTAAAACTGTTGCTCAAACTGCTGCTTAATATTTTTAACCCTGATTCTGCACGTTTTTCTTATCTCACGGTTCCCTGGGTTTACATTTGTTGTTGTTTACAAGATCCCCAGAAAGCAGGTTTTAGGAGCACTGCAAAACTCATTGCTTATCTTGCAGCAGCAGTTGGAGTTTCCCTTCATTTTTTCCTCACCTCCTTAAAAACTGGATTTTCATGGCGTGGCTTATCATAGATTTGGTATTCTGTAATGGGAAAAAAATCTCTGTTTTCATTCTGGCTTCGTGTCAGATTTAGCAGATGAACTGGCCAAACAAGAAAGCTGTGTAATTGCAGCATCTGACCCATGGAAATGGGATGACCTTTTGCTCTGCAAGTGTGGGCAGCGTCACTGAGAGATGCGAGCAGCACTCTCGTTCCTCTGCCCTTCCCACCATGCAGATTAAACGGCAGTTTTAGAAAAAGTCTTTACTCGGATAAGAAGTTAAAAAAAAAGAGAGAGATGATGCAAATAAGCACATGCTCGAGCCAAAAAAAAAATAAAAATAAAAATAAATAAATACACCATCACCGACAAAAAACACTAAGGAAGCCTGGCTCTGGGGGAACATGCGTTATACGCCATCAGTCCTAATTTTGCTGGGATAACCTGAGTTCTGCTTGCTCCTGGCAGCCTCCTGCCCAAGTCCTGCATTCTCCAGTTCTCCTGTGCCCCATGAATATCACCATATATGCAGACACCCCTAGGATAGCCAATCCGTGGCCATGTATACGTTGCCTGGGTGGGKTGGGTGCATGCAGGGGGGAAGCATTCACATATACACACTCAGTGCAGGGCTGAGAGGAGGTCAGGTAGACGGCACCGCATCCTCCTCCTTTCTGCGGGGCACCAGGTAAAAGCGGCCYGTGTTCTCTTTTAAATAAAGCTACTTTTTCATGATTGGAAGATTTTGACATCTCAAATATCTTCAGCTATTATATGCTTCCTTATCTATGAGAGCCCACTGACAGAAACATAAATTCATAAACTTAAGGGGGAAAAGTAGCATATTARTTGGTATTCTGTGACAAATCCTATCCAGCTCTGATTAAAGCTAATTTCTGATCAGAAATGCAATTTCTCTTCTCTGGGCAGCCCTAACTTTTCTAAATCAATCTCACCACAAAGCAGCRCCCAGAACTGAGGTGTGGAAACGCCTTCTGATGTGGAGCGCCAGAAGAAACAGCTTATGTAATAACAAAATATTATATGGCATAGGAAAGAACAYGGCCTATTAAAATACTTAAACTTAGTGTGGATATCCAGAAGGGGAAGAATTCTTTTGAGATATGCTTAGCTCCAAATTCGTGGCCTTCAGGATACACTGGGGCAATRGCCCCTTCCACTTCTAGGTGTGCAGCAGCCCTTGGCTATAGGGATGGCAGCGTGATGGGGCCACCAGTGCATGGAACAAGCCCTGACACATGGGCAGTTCCTGCAAAGAGGATGGGCATCTGCAGAGTCACCCTCAAATCCACCCCAACGGAGCTGTGTGTCTGCCCCTGCCAAAGCAAATCCTTTCCCAATCAGTGCTAAAAATGCTCAAAAGGGGGTTATTGCAGATTTTAGCAGACCTGTGTTTTCCCTTGGAGCCTTCTCAGACAGGCGCTGTCAGTGTGTTAGCAGGAGGCTTCCTCTTGCCTCACAGGTTTGCAATCCGATTGCGAGTCCCAGGGTATTTCCCAATTTCCTTCATTCTAATGGAAAAATAATAATAAAAAAAAACGGGGGGGGAGGAAAGCATTAAAAMGCAGCGATTCCAGCTGTGATCTCACCACCGTTTCACACCTCTGGCTTGATGGAGACAGCGATGCTGTCCAGCGTGGGATCCGGACGTGCTCCAAAGGCAGGATCACCGGGACCGAGGTGCCAAGGCCCCTCATCACCAGCAGCATCCGCTGGTCCTTGCTGAGCTGATGCTGTTTAGGCACCCACCAGGGATGGGTTTTCACAGCCCAGCTAGAGCAGAGGCACACGCAGACRTGGGCAACCCAGCGGAGGTAGCCAGGGGGCATTCAGGGGGCTGAGCTCCAACAAGCATTATATTTGTGCCATTTTTACCCACTACCTTGCACGTGAAAGGGCTCGAAAACACCTCAAAAATTTGGGGCCATTCTGCCTCTGGGAAAACCAGTATCAATAAACAGCTTTTATGTAAGGAAGGAAGGTTTTTTTCTTACCTCTCCTGGGCTACAGCAATGCCTGGAAGAAAAAAGCASCTGTTTTTTCAACTGTGTGAAACCCACACAAAAGCTCAAACCTCCGAGCAGTTCCACGCTGATGATAGTCTGCCATGGAGCTCACCTAGAGCCCACCAAAACGGGCTTTTTCAAGGCTTGCTGCCAAGGTTGGGCTATAGAACATGGATGGGCTATAGAGATGGATATAGAGCAGAAGCAGTGGTGATGCCAGGAAGACAGGGAACACAAGTTTTTATTTGGATATTGAGCTGGGCTCTTCTTCTGGACACAGGGAGGTTCATGAGTCTGTTTATTTCTCAAGGTGTTTTGAAGAAGTCTTCTTGGCCACCAAGGACCTGGATARGTTCCCTTGCTTTGGTGAAATTCCAAGTCCCATCCCAAAGATTTTAGCCACTKACTAAAGGACTATTTCTGGTGCAGGCAAACCAAAATGGTCTCCTAGTGACAAACAGGATATCACTGGCAATAACTGTGACAATAGGGACTGTTTGGATAGTGGGTAGCTSTTTGCACATGCCTTTCCATCTTTTGAACATCAAATGCTAGTTTTTTTTTCCATGAGCAAAGGTCTCTCAGTCAGGATGACTTGTATTGTGTCCGACTATGTGAGGTTATAACTGTTTAACTAGGGCCGAGGTTGTACCAACAAAWATTTCAATTCAAACACTAGCAAAACTGATGGAATAGTACCAAAATAATCTGGATTGCTCTGTGGAAAGCAGAAGGGAGAGGTGTGTTGTTTGTGATACAGACACTAAGCATCTCTTTTGATATTCATGCTCTGCCCAATCACCCTCCCTGCCAAAAAAATAATTTTTGCATTCAATTTACTCATCCCAACACTCATACTCAAAAGTGCCTTTGTTTTTGTCTTTAAAAATTTCAATGTGTTGAGCAGAACCAGTGCATGGGAGTCATTTAGCTCACTGCACAGAAAGTGGCTGAGTTCTTTAGTTGGATCTACTAAAGCGCAACAAGAAGGTGTTTGTGAGTCTCCAGCTGTCTAGTTTAGGCACTGCGCATAGGTGAACGTCACACCAACAGCTCCAAGAGCCCAAGTTGCACCTGCAGGAAATGAGAGAGAGGTGACCGCCTCCAAAGGAGAAGTGCAAGGCATCTGCATTAAAGGCTTAATGTAGATGGCATGTCCTACGTCCTTCCCTCTCTTCATATGTCAGTGCAAGCGGGTGAACATTTATAAATAGTGAATCCATTTGAAAAAAATTAGCAGGGGCATGTGATCAGCTAATGAATAGCATACAGAATAGYTCAGCCATGACCAAAGCTCTGTAAATTAAAAGCAATATGGAAGACCACAGCCATTAATTTCTGTTAGCAGACAGGCTCTTTGCTCTCCAGCGATGATTCGCGATGACAATCTGCCCGGCTCGGTGCTGACGCAGGCTGCAGGGCTCGGTGCTCACAAAGAGCCATCCTTGCTGGCCAGGCAGGTCCCACAGCTTCCTCTTGTAGATCCTTCATCAGGAGCACAACTGCTTCTCCTGCCCTGGACAGTCAGCTTGTGCCCACACAAATCCATAAATCCATTATATGTCACCCATGGGACACAGCACTGGTACAACACCGTGTCTCTGGGGTGCTCCTGAGGAAGAGGAGGTTGGAAGTGGGTGCTTCTGGCCTTCCTTGAATGAGCAGAAAGGCTGGAACAGCGAGGACAGGACAGGCACCACCAATAGCCATAGACTGAGCAGCGTTCCCTTGCACCTCTCAACATAGTGGGGGAACCTCCAGCTGAGACRTGACAGAAACCAGATGGGAGCCGTAACTTCCCAAACTTCTCCAATTACAGGCACAAGAGCACATCTGTCCACGCTCTTGATGTGCTRCTTACGTTAAATTGATTGCTAAT